CTAATCAAATGTGCAGCGCCTAGTAAAACCGTTGAGGTTTAAAGACGCAAAGCTATAATTATATAGCGATATTGATTCTTATTTAGACTATGGACGATCATAATCTTTTCCTGGATTATGAAACTGCCACAACATTAACGAAGGCGTCATACATAGCGGGCATATCGAAGACTTCAAAATATGATTAAACCAGAATAAAATTGAAATACATTGGGTGATTTGGGTGACTTTTTTATATTTTTATTCATTTTTTATTACTTTTTCTTCAAAACAATATTCCGTTGATGTCTAAATCACGATTCACGTCTGAATCACAAGCAGGTATGTGATTTTATTTTTAAATCTAGTTTCATTGATACAATTTCAATACAAGTCTGCTAGTTTTTCGCTATAGTTATTGCGAATCATTTTATCTACAATGTTTCGTGTTTTACGGTGAGGCAAAAAATGGTGATATTAATCTTTTAATATATGGAAGAAATAATTACAAGTTTAGGTATTCTAGTAATTATTAATCTGTTTTGTCTATTTGGTTAAGCATGTAACAAACTTATGAAAAATATTTCTTCTCATTTCTTTTCATTTCAATTACAATATACCACTTAATTCCAATTCCCCCGAAGCTAATAATCTAAATTGAGGTTTCTTTATTATTCAGTCGACATCGACACCCTAAATTTATATCTTAACCAGATTAGTGAACAAAAACAATAGATACAGTTACATTCATTATGTTACCCGAGGCGAATTCGTTAGTAGAACGTCCACAAACGCGTAGAAACATAAAATTCAATTAGCTCAACTACCTTGGCCAAGTTAGGAGGGCTTTTGCTTCTAAAGCCTGACCTTTTTTGTAGACTATTATATCCCTATTCATAAAAAATAATGATATTAAAAAAAATGTCGTCACTTTTATCAAATATCTGTTTGAAAATTTTGTACAAAACAAATATAGGAATTTGATATAAATACAAATTAATATTAAGGCAAGTTGCCTTTTTTTAATCAATGGAACAGATTAGAAATATTAATTTATTATTTATAAATGTAATGAGGGTCTAAAATCGATCCTTGTGGTATATAATGTCAGATGTTGTACCCAAGAGTAAAACGTATATTGGTATTACCAATAATACCTACATGGACATATTGCGATTGAAATTAGTTTCATCAAGGGCACCGCTATTCAAATTTTAATCACTGTTGTAATTACATTACACGGGTACCTACTTGCAATATGTATATTCATTGATATACGAAGGTACATTCGTAGTCTTACGATATAAACGTATAACGGAGTTCCCTAAGTCGCTTATAAGGTCATATCGGTCATGAATACGGTTTTATCTTGTATAAGAATCGCATAATGAGTGGCATTTAAAGGTATGTCTAAATTTTTTACTATATTGTTACAAGCATAGCGCTAATTGTAACTTTTATATTCGTATTGTAACGTCTTACCAATCGTGTTCATAGATTATTCATTATCGACATGCTTTTGTAACGAAATCCAAATAATTGGCTCTGATGTAAAAGGGAAACTTCGTTCAATTTGATGTCTTCGGTCTCTGTGATAAATTATGAACTTTGTGATGATTATGCTACGGTAGATATTTCAGTAATTGTTTCGTCTTTTTAATTTTAATTTTTGGTTTACATGTTAATAAAGCATATTTGATATTCTTAAGAAGTTATGAGAATTAAACCTACAGAGTTATAAGATTTACTACAAAAATTAACAGCAGAGTTATAAAGGTTGCTGAGTACCTATAGAATTATTGAGTATATAACAGAGATTCTTGTCGGTTCTTCTCCGGGTTTCTTGCCGGTTCTTCTCGGTACAAGGTCTCCCGCCGTAGATTTACGAACCGATGGCGTAGCTCTCGACTTTCACAAGTGCTTGTAACAGCCTAGACTGAATAAATAATTTTGATTTTTTTTTGGATTTGCGAGATAGACGTCAAAAATGTCAAGATGGTTTCGTGTTCTTTTTTAGCTTTTGTAACTTTTTGTTTTAGACTTTCGTTATTATCTATAAATATGTAATTTTTATTTATTTTGAACTAAGTTTCTGAATCTTTCAACAAAAAAAAAACCACATAAATTCCCTGAAAATAGTAAGGTATTAACTAAAGAAAACAAATTAGAAATTATTATTGTGTCTTTTTATGTAATTTTTTTTATAAAGATTAATGAATTGAAATGAATCGTGTTTTTATTTCGTAGCTCGTATTGAGTAGCTCAGTGGCATACAACCAATTGCTCAAACGTCCATTAAAATTGTAATTACTTTAAATTGGCAATACCGATGCAAATTTGACATTCATTAGATATTAAAGGCGTCATTAAACCTTAATGGACGTTTGTACAACCGACTGATAGTAGATAATTCGCAGCCTATGATCGTTATTGCTAAGCAACTTTCAAAAAGGTCGGTTACAGGATTGGCGATCGAAAATTATGGCACGTCAAGCCGTTAGTCCCAGCTGCATTTGCAGATGATAATGGTTAATGGAGGGTTTCAATCGGCATTGAACCAACGCGGATAATTAAAGCCCATCCTTATTAATTATCCATAAGGACTGCAGTATGGATGTAAAAGGACTGATGATGATGATAAAGTATATATTTCAGTCATAGAGAATTGAAACGCATTTCACTTTCCCTTTCATATAAAAATTACTACAGTATCGAGTATACTGTCAAATCAATCGTCAAAACAATCTTTATCGAACAATAATTATGATTAACATATCGATTAGTCCTAATTGTTAGGACTGATGACTATAATATCGATGATAGTCATCAGGCTGATGCGCAAAATTACAACTTTTTAAGGCAACGTCTAAAAGTTTCATAGTGTCATATATATAAAAGTAGAAATCTTAATCATATGAAATTTGCTGTGATATCTCTCCTCGTTTCTTTTAATGCACATTCGAAATATATTTGAGTCTTTTTGTAACTGTTATTAGCCATTAACTATTACTGCATAGGAAACAATGTTTGTAACAATAAACTTATTTTTCTTTGCCACAACTAGTATTTATAGAATTCTATGGTACTTAAAGTAATATTATGTTGCATGCGCTGAATTTAGCTAAGAGAAATCGAGCAATAGCAATTTCCACTAGCACTAATGGTAGTTTGAATGCAATAGACATCTGATAAGTAATTATATACGAAGATTTCCGTGCACGATTTAGCCTGCTTGGATCATATTCATAATGTTTATTAAGCCCTTTAAGGATTGAAGTGTTCGGATTCCTTTTTTAGTGAATCACTACGTTTAATGTGCCAAATTTCAGATGGATCCATTAATTAGTTTGAGCCGTACGTGGGTTGAGAGACAGTTTTATTTTAACCATATTAATGTACAAAACGAACTATCATATTCTTTTTTAAATATATTGCTTGAATTTTTTATTATTTGGAGATCTATTGAGCCAAAAATCAATTGAATCACTTTAATATTTGATAATGTTCTTAATGAAAAATATTTTCATGTTTATCGAAAGTTTAAATATTTGTAATAATATTTCTTTTGGCTGTTTGGGTAGATTGCATGAACATTGATGAGAATACGCTCTGTAGTAGCTAAAAAGTAACAAATGCTATAAAAATTCGTTGTCCTATTAGGTCCTGGGTAGCTCAGTGCTTAGAGCTATCGCCCGGATCTCAGAGTGGATTTTTTAAGCGCTTTTCATTAAAAACATTTTTCAGTATAGCATTGTGAACGCAAAATTTCATTAAAAACGTGAAGGTTTTTCATAGAAGAAAATATAAATGATTCGTGATGATCATTCTATTTTTTTTTATATAATATGTTGAAATTGTATGTCTATTCCAAGGTATAACATATTAAAGAACAAGATCATTATATTAAAACGTGACTTGATATTTATCGTTAACGTAATACGCATCAAGTAAACATTCACCTAACGATCACACCGTGATAAAATCAAACCCTTGGAGTTGTAGAATTAATAGGTCTCGTAAGACTTTTATGTCGTAAATTGTCATCCATACTATAGGTATTCATAACAAGTTTTAGAATAAGCATCTGGGTTACTAACTTAAAAGATGTCTAATAAAGAAATGAGTTCAACAATAGCTAGAACTTATAGTTGAGACAAATTACATTAATTAAAAGAAATCACTGGAATTAGTAAAATACACTAAGTAGTTATCAGTTCTTAGTTGTAGTATTAGTAGTTGTTGTTAATATTACTTGACCGATTTATAATTATCATAACGCACAATAAATTACTAAGCAGTCAGTTAATTATGAACTAGTTAGAATAAAATAACGCGTTAAAATCTAATGAGCAATAGACGCCGCCGGTGGTACATTTAAAGAGCCCATAATTCATTATCTTGTCTAACAAATTCCTTTTAAAAAACTATTACACAAACAACAATAGAGTAAACTCCCAAAAAGATAAACTGTTGCGACATAAAAGAGGATGATAAAAAAAAATCTAATAGGTGCTGTTCCCTAATCTATGAAACTATCTCCAACACGTCACAAAGCACGGTAATGGGGATTGTCATTAGCCTATTTTCTGGAGGCGGCTGACTTTTTATCAGATCTAAAGAGTTCTCCCATCACAATTGCTGCTACTGCTCTACCGGTCATAAAAAATAAACGAACGCAAACCTCGTTCTTGCTACAGAGATACAACGATAACTTCGTGACCAAATTCTATATCATCATCTGAAATACTGATTGAATCGTAAATCTTTTTTGTATCATAGCACGCCGCTTGTTATTGCCGATTGTAAATTATATAAATACGATATCTAAAATTTTATGGTTGTTTATAAACACTTCGTTTCGATACGTGAATGCAAATAAATTTTGAATTTTAATTCAGGTGTTGAATTTCTTAGCATCGATACATGTCAGTTTACATGTATTGATACTAGTTATAATGCACTCAATTAGAATGTATTTTGATAATTATGTACACTGCGAATACTATAAAAATGACACTTACAATATCAAAACAATCCACAACTCAAAAAGCTGCACTGAAAACTAATTATTCTGTCACAGGCATCAAAGTGAAATTTTTATGCATCTAACTGATCGGGGAGTTTAGGCCACATCTCACGAGTGTATGAAATCGAAAACAAGTTCACTTCACGTATACAAATGACAAAAACGATAACTGTTTTCACAATTCGCGGTTACGAGTCGACCGACCGTCAGTGAAACTCCAGCTACGGACGTCCGCAGCTATACGACGTCGCGATATGACTGCTACGACCGTTTCATGCCGAGGGGAATAGGGAACCGCGGGGAATTTGCCGGGGAGGGGGGACATAAACCTCTCCAAGTGAGGAGATAACTTTTGATCTTTTTGGAGGCATAGAAGATTTTAATGATGCAGTCACATCTGGATAACTAACAGAAAAAGTGCGTCACAACTCTAAGTGTAAATGCATGTCAAGAGCTTAAGTGGAAACGATGTGTTAGAAAAAGCGATTCTAAGGTTGCGGGTGACATTTTTAAAAATAGTCCAACTGAAATAAATGTTAGGGTCGATTGGTAATTAAAATTCTACTTATTTCTTATTGAACTAAGGGTTGTTGTAGTCTTAGATTAAAATCTCCAGTGATTTTTCAAATTGAAGAAAATACGAGATGAAATCGCTGTGCGGCATATTGCGTTTTATATTCTCCCGTATTATTTTCACATCATCCGAGATGTCTCGGCAGACAATATTGCGCAAGGCAGTTTTTATCGTTGCCCCGCACATGTCAGGGGGTTCCACAAAGAACCGAGGAGCACAGCAGGTACAAAAGGCCCCAACCCCGCTTCAAGTTACAACGGACTTCTCATAGATTAATGACGGGAACATTGTGGAGTTAAGAACCCAAAAATTTACAACTGCATTGTATTCAGAATTTAACAAAAGAGCACAAAAGATAGGATCAGCTTCTGTTATTACCTTATCGTTTAACTGAGATCTCCGTGATTTCTCTCACTTATTGAGTAATATAAGATGTATTATCTATGGGGATTTCCTATTACGTGAAACCCTGATCCCATACAGATGTTTGGAAGGCGTACCGTTAACTACTACACAGGCAATTATATTATTGGTTTCAAGGGTTCCCATACTTGAAAACTCTATATTAATAGTTATCAAATGTATCGTACTATACATCCGTACAGTAAGTAAGTAAGTAAGTAGCAGCAAATGAATACTGATAGCATAGTATAGTCAAAAAACAAGTGAATCTAACACGTTCGCAGTCTCTGTATCGACCGTTTAAATTTATCGTCGTGTTGTCAATGCGAAAACGAAGAAGTGTGATAGATAATAAAACACTGTATTCGAAGCGTGCGAGTATAAATCATCTAGAACAGTAGTAGACGCTGAAATAAAAGCTTCGCGGCAAGTCACGGAGTGTAATGAGTAATGATCTTGGGTATATTACTCAGGCGTTTCGGAGTTTAGCCGTCATCTGTCGTTGGTATGACGCCTCTTCGGAATGCTTGTGTATAACTTAGTAAAACACGACGATTGACATGGTTTTATCTCAAAGCAATAAATTTTATAAATAATGGATCCATCAATGATTTGTTTAAATAGTCGTTATAATGAAAAATATGATTGTTGACAGAAGATTATGTCATCTTTTAAAAATAATTGTTGTTGTTTGAAGTTTAATTTCGAATATTATAATGAATTATCTTTTACTTCCCCGAATATTACTTATTATAATGAGAAAAGCAACCGGGCGAATAGAGAAGTTATTATTAAATTTACTTATTTTAATGTTTTTGTAAAAAAAAAAAACATAACCATCATTGTTATATTAGCAATACATGTTTATATTTCAGATACAAATTTTATAACCTTCTCGAATGCAACTGTAAGCCATATGTATTCACATGTTTCCGATTGCAATCTCTTCTTTTACGGCAGCGCCGAATTTATCGCCTTCATTGAGATCTTTAAACTGAACGTTTCAGATAAGCGAAAATACGTCTTTACAAATTGCCTCATTTTTTAAGCTTCCCCAACTTTTGCTGTCCGGAATTATTTGAAGATAATTAAAAGTCTTGATTGCTTACGCTATTTCATCACCGCTCCTACCCTGTTTGCTAATTAAGTCACAGTGAAATGGTTTGTAGGGTCTAACCACCTCTGATTGCTTGCGACCACTCCGCGCGCTAAGGAATTCATTGTTATTCTAAAAACGTTCATTCTTCGTTCATCCATCCGTCGTATATTCGATGCACTTCTTATTCTTATCGGAAATTTCTCCACGCTCACGTCTCTATGCACTGGCGTATACTAGTTCTTTTATGGCCAATTTACGCTAGAAATGAGGTCTGCTACGGAAAAGTCTATTTTGTTTTACGGGCGTTCCGAGTTGCTTTATCGGATCATATGTCGACAGTGGACTTATGTGGAGGAGGTCACGACTCGAGATAGTTTGTTCGATAAAACTCCCCTTTCTTTGGAACTTGTAACAATTGCGTCAGCAATTGATAAAGTTATTTTAAGCACATTTTAATATGTCGGTGACGCTGTTTAAATTTAATGAGCTAATAAAACATCTATGGAAACCGCGCCAGACATTTCGCTTTTATAACAAGTTTAAAATTATATCGCAGGGTGCTTGTTGACTCCGTTTTGTCCTGGGGCTAGTCCATCGTTTATAGCTCAACTCAAACATTGAGAAAATTAATCCCAGTTTACTTCGCTAACTACCATCCGTTTGTTTGTTTTTCAATCGCTCCGACTCGTTCATTTGAACTTGAAGATCGTATTTCGGATCAAATATCGAAAGTAAAGGGCCTCTAATATTCTACGTGACTTCGTCGACGATAATAGATCCAGTTTTTAACATGCCATTAACAGTCGGACGTAGCTTTTTTATCGACTATAGAGTACTCACCTTCTTGTCCTATTGTTGTCGAGAAAATGTCTGTAACGGTTATACTTTCCGCATTTACTTCGTTTTTGCACGAGACAAATTTCTAACTGTAAACCTAATTCATCTATGTACACAATAAATCTTATCGCAAGGGAAATAGAAAACAATTTAGCTTTTATTTTGTATCACCGATAAAACCTGCTTTCGTGCTAGTTCTGGTGTCTCAATACATTATCAGTTTACTTACAAACAAATACGGACTGAATCCCGTCTAAATAAGAGGTTTTCCTTCGGGATAGGTGGAAGGGAATAAAAGTGGCACGAGACTCGGCTGCTGCGGTTTTATTGTACCTAATAAAATCTCTTGAGCTTCGATACAGCGGCTGCTTGAATTATAAACGTGATGTCCACAGATGTAGAAGTTCCTTGATTCGTTTCACTTAGAGTTCCGTTTTGATTGCACCTGCTATTACGTATTCATCAATATCAATGTTTTAAGTTATTCATATGGCGATGCATATTTTGTCGGGAGTTGTTTGAATTATAAACATGCTCGAGCCCCGAGCGGGATGGCCGTCGTGTGCTACCGGTGCGGTCGGCTCACGAAGTTATTTGTCTAGTGCCCGAAGCAAGGTTCGTGCAATTTGCATCTACAAACCACGCCCATCGGCTTCCACACTACATTATACCGAGTTGCAGCATTGTTCCTTCCAGCAGACCAGTATCTTCGCGATCAACTATAGATTTTCAATGCATCTTTTTGTAGAATCGTGCCGTGTAAGGCGGTACCTCGTCCAATATTCATCTGGGCGCAGCACAATTTTTCTATATCGCCAACTAGGTAGATCGTATTCTCTAAAATAAACTGTGGGAATATTCAGTCCCTATTAATGTTTTATATTAAACGTTGTACGATAAACTTTATAACTTCATATGTGTTATGCACGTTAAATTATTCTACAGCACTTTAAATATTTGTCTTAACTAAACTTCGTTAATACTCACTCATACGTATGTTAAACTCCGCCGTTCTTTGCCATTTATATTTGCACAATCTTCTTTAAAAGCAATTATATTTGAATAACAAGTAGTTTGTACTACCTCTACATTATAATAATCTTAAATGTTTAACGCTATGTTTGTTTACCTTCTATCTCCTAAGAAGATAATGAAAAGACAACTATTTTTTATATTCAATTTGTTTATTTGGATGGTAAATTATTAAATTTAGTATAACACCTTCCAATGATAACTCGTAAAATATTCAAAACATACGCATATTTTAAAGGAGTTTGACATTCAAATGATTTCAATAGGGCTAATTTTATACCGTTTTGTAATTATTTTGTACTATGAGTAGCAGCAGATCAGGTTAACTAAATAGAGGTTAAACTATCTAGGACTCGTGCGTGACACAAGCATTTATTAGTATTGATGAAAATAATATTAATGAAATACATAAAGACGAACGCCATTCCATCATTGTTCATAATCAGCAATACAATGAAAGTTTATGCTTTCATTTATTCGATGGAAAATAAACACAAATAGAAACGCATTAAAATTCATAATAACTTTAATGTTATGAATCTTATGCCAGTCCTCGGCCATACCACTTAACACTTGATTGCGACTCATTGCGTCGTCGACGTTTTAATACTTTTATGAAAAACATGAATAGCCTCCCTCTTTTGACGGCACAACTTTATTTCACCATAAACTTTGGCTCCAGTCTTAATGTCTTTGATGTTTGTAACTCCTTGCTTACTTCTGATAGGCGAACCTGTTTGAGTTGTGTGGCATTAAATTGTTTTGTGGCATTATTTCCTTTAAGTTTTGTAGCCGTTAAAAGTTGTCGGAACAAGCTCTTGTAAATAGAATTATGTACTTCATCATAATAAGCTTTTGTTAAATGTTTGATTGATAAACAAAGTTTAAGGCAATAAGTTTGTGGAAAGTTTATGGCAACGTTAACTGTCATTTGTGTTTGAGGACTTCTATGACAGTTTTAGGTCGACTCATGTCTAGTGGTTGCATGTTCTTTTAGACTGGAACGACTAAAATAGTATCTAAAAATCGACTTTGTTATTATACTAACCTTATTTGCAAAGCTATTTTTTATTAAAAAAAATTTAAACTTGCTATTTTTCACGCCAACTCAGCTCAATATTACGAGGGTCAAACTGAAAGTTCTTAGAACTGGCCACTTATAAACAATATAATAAAAAAATAATTCTAAAATTTGAAAATATAACTCTTTGCCAATATTACTGAGTATATATTTCATTCATTTGTCATTTGTTTTACGATTTGGCGGCAAATTGAAAATTGTCTGTGTCACGTCATCATGAATTTAACACGAGAAA